GGGGGGGCACAATTCAGCCTATAACAATATCTAACTAGGTTCATTTATCTCTGTCCTTGGCACTAGTTTAGTCTTTATTCATCTTAGAGTCCAAACAATCTCCTTCAGCCATCCTTCCTCCATACAGAGGGAATTTATACGGAGGGAAGCAATTTTGGGGATTATATTCTTTGCAGCCCTCCAAGCATCAAGTGGGTCCCCTTTGGTACTTAATAAATGAAGATACTCATGGTGACCCATCTGTTACAGTATGATCAGCTGCTTGAGAGTCACTAAAAAGTTGTCCAGCAATCTTATAGATCGTCTCTGAAACTAGAGTGATGCTTTCATAATTTTTTTTTTCCTCTGTGAAATACCAGCTTATTTAGAAATATGCTAGGGCACATCTGGGAACCCCTTTGGCCTTTCCTGTAAAGTACTGTAAAAGGTGAAGAAGGAAACTATTGGAAAAGATGCTCAAAGGCTCTTTAATGTTTATGAAAGGCAATAATAAAAGAGTTAAGGCAGGACACACAACATGAGAGGCCTCGAGCCACTATTTGCGGTTTCCAGTGGACTATTAAAGAAGGTCATTTTCCCCTTAAATACTGTTGTACATGACATGTTAAAGAAAGAGTTTTAAAGAAAATAAGCCAAACTAGTGGTATCCAGGTAGATCTCTTCAGTTCTTGATGCTGCATATCCACCAAAAGCAAGTTTTATGGTATAAGGTATACCTTATTATGACACACCTATGGTCAGACTGCAAAATACACTTTATTTTACCAAGCTTATAATGTCATTTTTATAAAGCAAGTGAATTAGAATCTCCTCTTAAGAGAGCCTGCAATAATCAGAAAACTGCATATACCATTCTCAAAGGACTCATGTTTTAATCTTCTATGGCCATTTATCTTACATATCTACTGTATCTTAACAGCATATAGCAATTGACACTTTATCTTGGCTAGTGTTAAGACCAGCACTAATAGAGTGAACAGAGAATATAGTTTATCAGTCACAGTAATTTGCATCTATCACCACACTAAGGCTCCTAGTGTAACATACACAAACAACTGGGCTTGAGGAAGCCTTTTCTGGTAGGTCCTATTTTACTGTTTAATCCATTAACAATAAAATGAGAAACCCCTGCTCCAAGCAGTTTTTCTGAATATGGGGAGGCCTGGTATTACCTTTTCCATATTAACTTTCAAAAGACTATCAGATAAAGAAGCCTCATCAACAGCAATCTATTTAGTATGAAAAATGCCCAAAGAATGAGAACTCAAAATCCTGGGCACTATACTAAGAAACAACTCTTTCAGCACAGATGATACTTAAGAAGTAATACTTTTCTGAATTTAATTAGTCAAGATCAGTGGTTTCACTCGAAACACTTAAGGAAAAAACTGATGGTTTATGAACAGCAGGTAATAAATCATTATGACACTCTTACTAGGTAAACAGAAATTGTTCAACAACCCCACAAACGTGTTAAAAGCTCTCCCTTTCCCCACAGTGGTAGTCAAACAGCAGAAATGAATCCACACGAATGCCGACGAATCAAGCAGACTCCTCAAAACTTGTTTGTGGTGCCACAAATTTTTATTTACTAGCGGTTTGGGTCATAAATTTTTTGAAAATCACATGCCCTGGTATGCCGCTGTGTTCTTTACTCTTCCTTTCCCTTTCCTATCATATTTTTTGCCCTTTGGTTTCCTGACACTTCCATTTTCTCTTTTTATGTTCCTGTTATGCTCACGAAACGGCAGAAAACTGGGGTGTAACTGATCACATCGTTGGTAATCTTTTTCTTATTCTGGGGTTTTCCAGATTAGAACGGGAAGACGACTCAGGTGCAGCCCAAATATTACCTATTTAGATTTTTCATGCAAAGTATGCGTGGAAAAGCTTCTCTCTTTGCCCTTCATTTTGTGTCTATTTAACTAACGGCGCTGTAGTGCCCAAACGCAGATATTGACCAAGAACTAGATTTCCAAAATGGCTTTGCTCCGTTCGAGCTGGCACTGGGTCTATAAAATACAATTTATTTCCACTGCAACCAACCCTTTCTACCCCAAATGTACCCAGTACGTAGGAAGCTGAATCTAACCGAGTGTAGACAACCGAATCACATCTATTAAATTTCAGTAGAGAGACTGCACAGCAGTTGGACTGATGTTAAAAGAGAGTTAAAAGAAAAAAAAAAAATACCCAAAAACCACACGAAGCAAACCCGAGGGGCGGGCGTCGCCCAGAATCGCGCCCTCCCGCCGCCT